TGCCTCAGTGTATGAGCCCCTCTGGGGATCACAGGCGCGTCCCCAGACCTCCAGCGCGCCCTAGACAGAGAGGAAGGCGGGCGTTCTGCCCGGGTGCTGAGACTCTGGGAGTCCAGGTGAGGAGTCAGGGCCGTTGACCAAAGGAGCTCCGCATGAAAAAACGGCCCTGGGGAAAGGGTCGGGACTGCCGGGGGGCCGTATCGCAAAACAACAAAAAAAAACGCTACGTCGGCATGCACTCCTGACTCGGGCGGGAGTGCAATGCCCACCGGCACTGGGCCCAGGAATGACCCGGCCTGAATCGGTGCAAACGTACGTGCGGCGTCCCCCGAACCTTTCGCGTGGCCGTCGAACTTCGTTACAATGACGCTGCCGACATTGACTGTGTCGCGGAAGGCCTTGGCCTGCTCGAAGCAAGCCTGCCCGATATGGGCGTCCATGATAAAAACAATGTCGTCGGGTTGCACGACCTCCTCCACTTGCAGCATCTCCTCAAACAGAGCCGTCTCTTGCTTGTGGCGGCCTGATGTGTCTACAATAATCAAATCGTATTTCTCCTTTCTGAACAGCTCAACGCCGTCCCCAGCGATCTTCACCGGGTCTGTCTCCTGGTAATCGCCGTAGAAAGGTATTCGCACCTTCGAAGCGTTCTGCTTCAGCTGGTCAAAAGCGCCAGCACGGAACGTATCTGCACACACTAAGGCAGTTCTCCATCCCTTTCGATTGTAGTAGTGCGCATACTTCGTGCAAGTCGTCGTCTTGCCGGAGCCTTGAAGACCGACGAACATGATGACGTTGCATTTGCCCTTCTTGAGCTTGTAAGGCTCCTTCTCCGCGGAGACCAGTCCAATGAGCTCGTCGACGACGCACTTCTGAATCAGCTTACGCTTGTTAGTGCCTCCCTCTTCACCCTCCATCAACACTCGTTTCTTGACATCCCCTCTTAGTTTGGCAACGTACCGAACATTGACATCGGCGTGAAGCAGCGCTGATGAGATATCCTTCAACACTTCATCTAGCAGCTCGTCGTCGATGATCGGCGCCTGGCTGAGCTTGTTGAAGGAAGCTGTGATCTTCTGGCCAAGGTCCGAGAGAACCATGGCTCTAAGTTACGCGCCCGTGACAGGCGACCTGCCTGGGCGCTGGTGCCCATCGGCTGCTGAGGCAAAGAAGGCAAGGGGAGACTCCAGCGGACGGAGAAAGAGTGAAGGGAACGGGAGCTGAAGGGGAAGATCAACCACGGTCACCCAACTTCGCACCCCGCGCTCCGCGGAGCGCAACGATCTTCGCGCTCACGCGCCAACTCCCTGGAGATAGGCAGCTGTCCGCATCAGGCCGCGAAGCGCGATCATCGTCGCGCCCCCGAGGGCGACCTCGAGGTGGCAAGTGCTCAGGAATGGACGAGACGGCAGGAGCGGAGCAGGGCGGCGAAAGGAGAGGACGAGGTCTGCCAGCGAGAGACGGCGGGAGGAGAAGAGGGGAAGGCCGAGAAGGATGCCCGCAGGGAGAGGCGATCGAAGGAAGACGGGGAGGAGGAGGAGGAGGAGGAGGAGGAGGAGGAGGAGGAGGAGGAGGAGGAGGAGGAGGAGGAGGAGGGAAGTGGGAAGACAAAGGGCGCGAGGAGAAGGAAACGGGGTATGGAGAGAGCGAGGGGAAGGGAGAGGAAGAGGAAGAAGACCAGGACGAGAAGGATTAGGAAAAACGAGGGGGATGGACGGAGTGGGACGGGAGAGAACGTGAAGGAGGAGGAAGCGCCCGGGTCTCTGAAAATGTATTGAGGTCCGGAGGCCTACTAAAAGCTGAAAGAGAGCCAAGCACGTCCAGCAGAAACTCGACCCTCGATCCTCGAACCCATGCTTCCCCTCATCTGAGATCGAGGGACAGGAAGGTCAGAACGAGTACAGCGGGGCAGCCGAGTACAGAGACAACAGACGAGGGAGGGATGGAGGGAGGCACCCGTGCGAACGGAAAACCGACTCGGGTGAGCTGGCCCGAATACGCCTCGAAGTGCACCTACAATTAAAGCCGATCCCAAAGAGTGCAAAGACTTGCTCTGGGGCGGGGGCGAAGGAGGGAGGTCCACGGAGGTCTCCAGAGTCGCCGAGCAGAGCCGGGGGTACGTCACAAACACACACACACACACACACACACACACACGCATACGCACACAACGGGGCGGTGAGGAAGAATGGCAAAAAGGATCATCCATCTCCTGCTCCATCGCCCTCCTCTTTCTCCTCCATCTCCTCCTCCCCCCCATCATGAGGATGAATATGAAGAATGACGAGGCGATGAGAGCGACGGCGATACGTGTGCAGGTGGGGATGAGAGAAACTATGATGATTACGACGTTTATGAGGATGACTGGTGAGGATGTGGGTGATTGGTCAGGGGGGCAAGAATGAGGACGAGGACGAGAGCGTCAATGACAATGAAATGACGGGTGTGGATATCAGGGAGGGAGGGCAGGAATCCGATAAGAGCACGAGAGAGGCTAAGAAGAAGTGCGGCGACGGGTATGAGAGGACTCCTGCGATCATGCCGGGAAGGTCATCAGATAACAAGAGCCCTGCTTAGCATGCCAGTAGAAGACTCCTCCTCCTCCTCCTCCTCCTCCACCTCCTCCTCAACCTCCTCCTCCTCATCCTCCTCCTCCTCCCTCCTCCTCCTCCTCCTCCTCCTCCTTCTCCTCCTCCCCCTTCCCCCTCCTCCTCCCTCTCCCCCTCCTCCTCCCCCTTTCTTCGCCACCGCCCCGCCCTCCTCCGCCTCGGACCTACGCCCTGTGTCCTGCTTCGCCCGCCCTCTTCCACATCTTCCTCTCGTCTCCCTCGGCGTCCTGGCCTTCCCCACTATAAGACGAATCCAGGATGAGGATAACATCGGGTGAGTAGAAATAGAGAATCTCTGAGATCTGGAGGCTCTGGAGGATGTCTCGGGCGCCACAGCCTTCTCAAAGCGTTCCCGAACGCTCTGAAAGCGTTCGGAACGCTCTGGAACGGCTGTATCCTTGTCTTGGCCCCGTCCGACACTCCCCTGCTGTTCTTACAGCGACCCTGGACAACAATGTCTAAAACGCGCTGGCGTTTGGAAGATAAAAACGAAACGAGGCCGAACGTTGAAAGCGAGATTTGAGAACGAGACTGGTGCCAAGCGAGAACGAAAACAGAACGAAGCTCAGCAGAACAACAACGAAAAACGAAACGAAAAACAAAGCAAGGGTCAAAACCAAGCTAAACAGCTCTGTGTTCGGTCCCTACATTCCTCCCATCCCCTCACACCTCTCTGCCCATCCTTCCTCCCGTCCCTCCGTTCCGAGGTTCTTCCTCCCTCTCATCACTCTTCCTCTCTATCACCCTCGCTCTCCTCCTTGCCTTCCTCTCCCATCCCCTCCTTGTCAATCCGCCACCGTGCCCTCAGCACGCAGCGGAGTGACCCAAGGCCCATGCAGGTGCACGAGTTCTGGTGAGGAGGAGGAGGAGGAGGAGGAGGAGGAGGAGGAGGGAACCCCCCGAGGCTCTGTGCGAGGCGCCCGAGAAGGTCCAAGAGCGCTCCGAGGCGACCCCAGAAGGCCCCAGGACCGTCCCCGACGCCCTCCTGCTAGCCCGAGGCGCCCCCGAGGAGCCAGAGAGGGCTCCAGGATGCCCCATGCGAGGTCCCCGAGGGGCCGAACTCGGTGACTTCCCGAAGCAGAAGGTTAGCGTTCTCGCCTGTTCAGACTTCCGACGTTCCAAGACGGCCTGGAGGCCTCCAAGATCGCCCCAAGACGGCCGAAGAGGCCCCCAAGAGGGCCCCCAGACGGCCCAAGAGGGGCCCAAGCCGGTCCAAGAGGGCCCCCAAGAGGGCCACAAGAGGGGAACTCAAACTGTTGTGTCGCACCCTTCGCCCCAGGATGATACCCCAGACCGCCAGCAGGCCTGCGAGACGCGCCCCAGAAGCCCCAGGAGGCCCCCGAGAGGCCCAACTCAGACCCCAGGAGACCCCCAAGAAGCCCCGAGAGGCCTAAGACACCCCCAACATCGCCTCCAACATGTGTTCGGGAGGCATCCCAAGAGATCCTCACGGGCATCCAACAGGCTTCTGACCTACAACCTACGGTGGCGGGAAGGGCCGAAGGTCACTAGATCCGCCGCCCCCTGTTGGCTTACTACAGGGGTGCGCGGCGTGCCAAACGTTAGGCAGCTGTTGGTCATGGCGGGCACGGAATGAAACCCGTACGTAAACGTCCCAAGTCGTAGGTCTTCCCGTCCCATACGGACCCGTAATTGTTCCATGTCGCTGGTCTTCCCGCTCCAGACGGCCCGAAGATGGCCTCCAAGACGGCCAAGATGGTCTCCAAGACGGCTACGATAACCCCAAAAGAACCCCGAAAGATGGCTTCAAGATGTCTCCAAGACGGCCCAAGATGCATCCAGGACGGCCCAAGATGGGCCCAAGATAGCCCGAGACGGCCCCAGAGGCCCCCAGGAGGCCTCCGAGAGAACCTCCAGGAAAGCCCGACGAGATCTCTCATCATATGTCTATGTCTCGCCCACGTGTTCCCCGAAGCGTTTCCACAACGGCTGGGGGAACACATGATCCGATGGCGTGGCCGAGCTGTGGCCACAACGTTCGGCCACACAGGCGCTTCCAGAAGGCAGTGGGCGGCGGTGATTCACTGTAGGCGGCTTCAATTTGTTCCTGCCCGTGTTTCCCCACCTCCAACTGTCGAATTGGCGGGGATCTCAACAACCCCTTGCTGGCCCTGCGCGGCTGTCCGGCCGCGCCCCCGGATCGCCGATCCCCTCCCCTGCCCCCAGCGCTGGAACGGTACCATCAGTTATGCTATGCTGACGATGGCTGACCTGCTGTTGCCATGGCTCCGTTGGCGCGACCGTTGCGTTCATCGCCCTTGCTCCTGACGTCTGTGCCCGCCTCGTGCTAGCTGGCACCAGCGCCACCAGGTCCTGCGCGACGCGGGCACCATGTGCTTGGCGACGCACGCCGGCTGACTGTTGCGAGCACCACTGGTCCGACGCCTTCACACGCCACCGCCTCCCTGCCCGTGCGCCGGAGAACGGGGAGGGGAAGGCGAGGAGGAGGAGGAAGAGGAGGCGGCGGCAGAGGAGACTGCGGAGGAGGACGACGAGGACGACGTCCTCCTCCTCCACATCATCCGCGTCCTCGCTCTCCTCTCCTTCTCCTCCTCCTCTTCCTCCTCCGTCTCCTCCTCCTCCTACTCCTCCTCCTCCTCCTCCTCCTCCTCCTCCTCCTCCTCCTCCTCCCCTCCTCCTCGTCCTCACTCCCCACTGCTCATATCTACTCCTCGCTCGTCGTCCTCGACGCCCTCGCAGTCCACGTCCCCGCCGCCCTCCGCGCCGCCACTGAGTGCCGCCGAGGGCCGCCGAGGGCCGCCGAGGGCCGCCGAGGGCCGCGCGGGTCGCCCTCCGCGGGCGGGCGGGGAGGCGGCGCGAGGCGCCCGCCATGGCGCACGCGGGGGGGGGCGGCGGCGAGGGGCCGCGGCGCACGCACGGGAGGCGAATGCCTCCTCCTCCTCCCTCCTCCCTCGTCCCTCCTCCTCCTCCTCCTCCTCCTCCTCCTCCTCCTCCTCCTGCTCCTCCTCCTCCTGGTCCTCCTCCTCCTCCTCCTCCTCCTCCTCCTCCTCCTCCTCCTCCTCCTCCTCCTGAGCTGAACTGGGCCACATCGGAGGCGACAGAACGCACAAACGCGAATCACTGGAGCAGCAGCACGCGTGCGCAGCAAGAGTGTACTGCCTCTGTGCCGTCGGGGAGACGGGGTCGACGCACAGCGCGGATGCCTTCGGCGCATCTGCTCCGAGGCACGACGACGGAATCCGAGGCATCCAGGGGGCCCGCTCGGCGGACGCTGCTGACCACATGCTCAAGACCGTCGGGCCCCCACGCTCCGCCCCTCCGGGGTGCACGAGCACGGCCCCCGGCTGGACCGAGGGGAGCTCCTGCGAGCCAGCCCGGGCGGCCCGAGCTCTCCCGGGGAGCGGCCCGAGCCGCAGAGCTGCTGCGCCGATCCCTCCTGTGCCCTTTTTCGCGCTCGCTGCCAGCCGCAGCGACCACCAGGACCACCGATGCACGGTGCGTGTCCGCCCAGCCTGCGCCCTCCTCGCGCCCCGTCGTGGCGAATGGCCTCCTCCCGTCTGCTTCGGCTGC